CTGAGAGGGGGATCCGGGGCAGCTCAGATGGGAGCCTGAGGAAGCTCAGAGTCGGGGATTCTAGAAGACTCAAAGTGGAGGGTTTAAGGGGTTCAGGGAGGGAAGAAGGTTTGCAAGGAGGCAGGCTCGGGGCTAAAGGTCCACGAGTGCTGCAGTGAAGGGGCGCTCGGGAAGGGAAGTCTGAGGGGGCCAGAGCAGGGGGATCCGAGGAGACTGAGAGTGGACGCGTCTGGGGAGACGCAGATTGGTAGCACAAGGGTGCGCAGAATTGGGTCTGAAGGCTTGAGGCTGGTCCATGGGGACCCTGAGTGTTGTTCGAGGGCCCGTCTCATAGTTGCAGGTCTGAAGTTGTCAGGATGGGGTCTCAAATTAAGGTGTTTAAAGGGGCTCTGGGGTGCAGCCCTGGAGGCTGTGTGGAGCTCTTGAGAAACGCTCCCAGTGAGCTCAGAGGGTGTCCTCTGTGAGAGGCTTGAGAGGGCAAATATGTGTGGTTTGATGGGCCCTTGGTGGGTGGGGTTTGGGGGAGTGTTCTGGGTGCTCACTGTCCAGGTAGGAGCCTGGGGCTCACTGGGTGGCTTTGAGATGCTGAGGACTCAGGTTTTAGAAACCAAGTTTCACTAGAGGGCTGAGGTGAGGCCCTGGCCCATGATAGAACAGAAAGTGGGATCATAGCCTGAGGGTGGGAGGCTTGGTGACTTCAGCATGTCCTCCCCCCTCCCCCCACAGGACTGGGTACATGGAGTTGGTGTCGATGGAGGATCAGGACGCCAGGGTCCCAGCCCTGGAGCCATTCAGGGTGGAGCAGGTTGTCAGGACTGGGGGTGCAGAGGGTGAAGGTGGGGACTAGAGGCCGGGAGGTAGAGTTGGAGTAGGCAGGCTGACTCCTGGGTTTGTGGACTGGGACTGCTCCCTCCTTCCAAATTCATTCTTACCCTCAGGGTCCAACCCCACCCTCACTTGGGCACTTCCCACCCCCAAAATGGGCATTGGTCTGTTGACTTCAGGCCCTGGCCTGTCTGGGGACATCCTGAGCCTCGCTTCAGAGGGAGGGGCCATGCTAAGGCCCCTGTGTAGGTCAAAGGGCCATACCTTCAGGGGGATCTCTTTATCCTAGGCACCACCTGTTATCTACTATGTCCCTGACTTCATCTCCAAGGAAGAGGAGGAGTATTTGCTTCGACAGGTGACCCCAGTGGCCTTCTGCTCTGTTTTTCCCCTCCTCCCGGATCCCTCCCCAGCCCCAGGTCCTATGTGAGAGCCCCTAAGGCTACAGTGAAGATCCTGGCAGAAAGGAGAGTGCCCCACAGCACCCCTCCCTCACCTTCCCTATTCCTCTCTCAGGACCTGCTGGGGCCTGTCAGAAAGAACTTTTCCCAGGGGGCTTAGGGGAAACCAAACTGATTCTTAGAAAGAAGGTGGTTATTATGGATCTCATCCTCTCTGTGCTGAGATAGCCCAATCCTGCTATCTTAGAGAAAAGGAAGTTATAAACATAGGCTGAGCTAGCCCAGTTCAGGGCCCTGAGATTTGGGGAATGAAGAATTTGCAGGGTTCAGATTTCTGTGCTGAGATAGCCCAGGCGTCAGAATACTACAGAGGAAGCTCTTCCCTCTGATGAGATAGCTCAGCATAGACCCAGGGTCTTGAGAACAAGGAACCAAGCATAGACCACCTGTGCTGAGATAGCCCAGTCTGTACTCTATTCTTAAGGTTTGGGGAAGGAGGAATTTACAAAGCTCAGAGTCCTTGCACTGGGATGGTCCTTTGTGGCCCCAGAGCCTTAGTTATAGAGCACAGATCTTCCTTGTGCTATCCCAACTAGTCCTGTCTAGTTTGAGTCCCAGGACTAAGTTAGCTACAGAACACAGACCCTTGTGCTGAGATAGCCCATTCCAGCCCCATAACCATGAAGGGAATGAGGAGATTATTAAGTGTAGACTTCTTAGACTTCTTGGAGATTGCCCATTCTAGACACTTGGGATCTTGGCAGTGGGGAATTTTCAAAATACTCTTTGCTGTGCTGAGATAGCCCAGCTTAGCACATTCCCTCCTCCAGGTGATAGGAACAAGCAGGTTCCAGCAGCCAGACTGTGCTGAGATAGCCCAGAAATCAGGGAATTGTAGGGTCCAGACTGTTTGCTGGACTGAAAGAGCCCAGTCCAGCCCAGAGCTGTGAGTAGATTCAGAGCACAGTTGTGTAGCCCTGGTTCCTTTCCTCGACCCCGGTAGACACAGGTGGGCTTTGGGGCCAGAGGCCTCCATGGAGGAGAGGGCAAACAACAAAATCCTGGGAACTCTGTATCCCGAGAACAATCCCGGACAGAGATGAGCCATTTCCACCCCAGGTCAAGACCCGTGTGTTGGCCTGGGTGGGAGAATCAGGGTGGTCCTGAAAAAGGAGTGACCCCCCTCCCTCCCTCCCAGGTCTTCAATGCCCCAAAGCCCAAGTGGACCCAGCTCTCCGGGAGGAAGTTACAGAACTGGGGTAAGTGTCCCTGCCTGGGGACGTGGGTGATTTGGGGATGTGGGCTAGGGCCAGCAGCTCAGGTTGGACAGGCACAAGACATTGGGGGGTCCTTGAGGGTTCAAGAGGTCCCAAGGGCCAGGAAGATTCTGAGGGTCCAGAGAGATTAGGGATTTCCTGATGAGTTGGGGGTGTATCTCAAAGGGTCCAGAGGTATGGAGAAGTCAGGAAACCTGTGAAGGGTCGGGTGGTGGTCTCCAAAGAGTTGGGGGTCCCTGAGGGGGTCAGAGTGCTACCAACCACTGGGATATCCTAATGGGGGCTCCAGGTGCCAGGGCTCCTTGGTTGGGTGCCCTCAGGACCTCATTGCCCCCTCCAGGTGGGCTCCCCCATCCCCGGGGGATGGTTCCTGAGCGGCTGCCCCTGTGGCTCCAGCGCTACGTGGACAAAGTGTCTGATCTCAGCCTTTTTGGGGGTCTCCCAGCCAACCATGTCCTTGTGAACCAGTATCTGCCTGGGGAGGGCATCATGGTAACCACACACCCTCACCCCGACCCCCAGACCCCTGATCCACCATGGGGCAGGGCGTCATGTTGACCCACCTCCACTCTCATTAAGCAGCCATGTACCCCAACCAGGCATTCACCTCCCTGTCCCCAGCTGGGGACTCCTCCTTGAACTCCAGAGGGTGGGGGGTGTGGACTCCTGCCCTGTCCAGCCCTGGTGCCCACTCCCCAGCCCCACGAGGACGGGCCACTGTACTACCCGACCGTCAGCACCATCAGCCTGGGCTCCCACACCATGCTGGATCTCTACGAGCCGCGGCAGCCAAAGGATGATGACCCTGCAGAGCAGGTGGGCCCCGAGACACTGCCCAGCCACTCGTGGGCGTGCTGACATCCCACATCCTCCAAGAGGCCCCATCCCACTGGCCTGATACTCTCCCAAACACCTTCCCCTGTCCCCTCATGGAGCGCACCCACATCCTCCCAGACACCTGACCCATCTGCTTGCAGGGTGCCCTAGAAACATCCACAGACACCCCAATACCCCCACCTGCTGAGTGGATGCCCCGACACCTTACAGATCCCGTGGCCCTACACGTTCAGAGTGCTCCAATAGCCCAAGTCCCCATGCAGGGCTCCCCAGTACACCAGCAGACACTGATATCCTCAGATACCCAACACCATTCACTTGTGGGTGTCCCCGCCATCCTCCCAGACATCCTGACTCTGCCCACTGCACGGGGCACCCCAACACTGACCTCCCTGCCACTGCAATAATGTGATCTGCCATGCAGGACACCCTCAGATTCTCCTTGGCACCTCAACCCATGACTTGCTGCTCAAGGACCCCCCCCCCCAGATACCCTGACTCCCCTGTCTGAGGGTTGCTCTTCACAGCAGCTTCCCTGACCTCTCTCTGAGTGATGCGTTCTGACACCCCAGCGTTCACAGAAACTGCCCTGGATGCCCTGACCCACCTGCTCCTTAGGGCTTCCCTTTTTAGGAAGCACCCTGCCTCCTCCTGGATACTCTGACACCCCTCCTGCTGTGCCCGTGCCCTCAGACATACTGATGTCCCCAGATACGCCCAGATCGCACCCCCCTTCTCTCCTCCCTCTGTCCCTGCACCACCATCACTGACTTCAGCCAAGCCCTCAGCCCAGTTCCACCTAGTTTCCGGGGACCATTGATCCACACGCCTGGACCCCCACCCCCCACCCCGCTTCAGCTCCCTCTCTCAAACCCTGGCCCTGGGACCCCGGGGATTTTTCACTCCAAAGCCTGATCCCCGCAAGCACGCCTGCCCCTCAGCCTTTGCCCCTGGGAACTCGACCCTCGTCCCCTGACCCCCAACGTCTGCTGACCTCTTGCCTACCCCCCGATTTCTGGGGACCCGCTAACTATCGACCTGCCCCGCAGCCCCGGCCCCCGCCCCGGCCGGCCACCTCGCTGCTGCTGGAACCGCGCAGCCTGCTGGTGCTCCGGGGCCCCGCCTACACGCGCCTCCTCCACGGCATCGCAGCCTCCCGCGTAGACGCGCTCGACGCCGCCTCCCTGCCGCCCAACGCGGCCGCCTGCCCGTCGGCGCGGCCCGGAGCCCGCCTGGTGCGCGGCACCCGCGTTTCGCTGACCGTCCGCCGCGTGCCCCGCGTGCTGCGCGCCTGCCTTCTGCTCAGCAAGTGACGCCAGGCCCCGGGACCGGCCGGGATTCCCGGGCTCTCGCCTCCAGACGGCTGCGTCCCTGTGACCTTGGAACCCTGGGGCAGAGGCAGTTCCCCCGGGTTTTATTTTCCCGGTAGTTGTGGGAACCACAGGAAAAGGCCCCATTACAAATAAAACAAAACAAAATCTTTCTTTGGGTTTAGATTTTTCAGGGGTGGGCGGCTAGATGCCTGGGTTTCTGAGGGGGGCAGCATCTGGGACCTTAGATGGATGGTGGGGCCCTGGGGGTCAAATATATGGGTCATTGGGTGGAGCAGAATCCAGGGCTCTTGAGGGTTATGTCCGGACCCCCTTGGGTGGGGTAGGGTGAGCTTGGGAGGTTCAGCTACTGGTCTGCTGGGGAGGAAGGAGTTAAGTGGTGCCGCTGTCACCTGAGCTGGGCCTCAGATCACCTGGCTCCAGGTTCCCCTTGGAAGGAGGTGGAGCTGAGCTGCCCCTGGGCCCCTGGCTGCCTCAGGCCTGGGTGAGTCCTGCTGAGGAGGTCTAGGGGGATACCCCTGGCTAGGAAAAGGGTTTTTACTGGGGATTCTCACTGAGTCTCTGTCCCCAGGCCCCAGCTATGGCCCTGCCCCCACCTCTGGGCCCTAGACCCCCCTCAGAGCCCCTCAGCCACCCCCCTGGAGCCCCTCGGGAACTGAGTATGGTTGGGTGCGCCATCTGCCTGGCATCTGGAGAGGAGAGAATCAGGTAGGGGCTGGGGCTTTTGAAACTTAGGTCCCAAAAGGTTGGGGGCAGTAGCAGGGCCCTCTGAGGGTAGGAGGCACAGTGGCTATGATCACTGGGGGCATGGGGGAGGGAGCCGGGGACAGGGGTTGGGTAGGGTGGATAATGGGTACTGGGCTCACCCAGGGGTCTGTCAATGCCCCCTACCTGCTAGGCCAGAACAGGCCCAGAAACCAGGGCAGGACTCCTTGGACCCTCCTGAGCATTTCCAGTGTGGGCTGAGGGGCACTGAGCCTGCCGCTGGCCCTCCCAGACCGCCAGCACCCTCTTCGCATGAGGAGCCAGCTGGGGGCAAACACTGTGAGGTGAGCTGAAGTGACCCAGGCCCCTGTGGCAGCCCCCACTTCCTCTCTGTCCCCCAGAATCTGGCCTCCACACTCGGGTTGTGGTGATGATTCTGGAAAAGTATTGGGCATCTTTAGGGGGAGGGCCGCTGTAGGAAATGATTCTTGACTAATCACTATAGAAGTATTTCATTATTTTACCAACTGAGAGAGAATTATTTCATCATTGGTTGTGGTGCAGCCCGGTTCCTTGTGGGGGTATCCAACTCCATCACCCTCTCCCTGTCCAGACCCCCAAGCCCCACATGTCAAATTTCCAGGAGCCTTGAAAACCTGGAGCCTTGAAAACCCTGGCTCCACCGGGAAGGCCTCCAGGTGGGAGCAGCCCTGGTGCAGACCCAGAGATGGACTCTGCTGCAGAGAAACATCCAGAAGACTGGAGCCTACAGAAGAGGGGTGGCAATGGGAGTGGGGGCAAGGTCTTAGTTGGCCCACTGGCCCTGACGCAGCCCCCTGTGTTCCTCAGTGCCCCATCTCTGGCCGGGAGGTGTTGGAGGCTGAACAGGAGAGGCTGCACCTTTGCCTGTTGGGGCTGGGCCTCCAGCTTCAGGACCTGGAGCGAGGCCTGGGGTCCTGGGCATCGGCCCAGAGCAGGATGGTCCAGCTGCAGGTGGGTGGTGGGAGGCCAAGATGTGGGAGGGTGGGCAGGGCCTTGGGAGTGCCAGCTTCCTGGCGTAGGAAATGGGTTTATTCTGTGTTCCGGGTGTCTGGATAGGAAAGGGGGGTGTGTGACTCTAGGTCCCAGTTCTCTGGTGCCCCTGGTGTGTGTGTGTGGGCAGTGATGTCCCACCCTGTGTACCCAGGCCCTACAGGCAGACCTGCGTGGGGCAGCTGAGCGTGTGGATGCATTGCTGGTGTTCAGTGAAGGGCTGGCGCAGCAGAGTGAGCCCCAGGCCCGGGCATACCTGGAGCAGGTCCTGAGGGCCCTCGGAGCCCACCGAGACAGCATCTTCCGGCGGCTGTGGCGGCTGCAGGCCCAGCTGGTCAGCTACAGCCTGGTAGGGCCCACCCTGGCAGTCCCCAGCTCAGGTGCCAGTCCCACAACCGCCATGACCTCTGTCCTCTGACCAGGTGTTCGAGGAGGCCAACATACTGGACCAGGACTTGGAGGTCGAGGGGGAATCGGACGGGCCAGGACCTGGTGGGGTCTGGGGGCCCCGGGCACCCAGTAGCCTCCCCACTCCTGCAGAGTTGGAGTGGGACCCAGCAGGGGACATTGGGGGCCTCGGGCCCTGGGGACGAAAGACAGTCTGGACAGCAGGGGCTCCCTGTGAGCTGTGTGGTCACAAGCGCTCCCAGGGCAGGGGACAAGGCCTTGAGGTGAGAGCAGGTGGGGGACACCTCTGTGCGCCTCCTAGCAGGGTCCTTCCCTTTCAAGGAGGTCTTGGTGGCTCTGTCTCTCCCTCTGTCTCTCTCGGGGTCTCTGTCTCTCTTGGTGTCTCAATGTTTTCCTCTCTCTCTCTCTCTCTCTCTCTGTTTTCCTCTGTCTCACTCTTTGTTTTTTTCTCTTCCGCCTGTGTCTACATTTCCTCATTTTCTTACTCTTCCCCCTCACTCACCCCGCTACAGCCGCACTAGCCTCCTGGCTTCTTGAACATTCCAAATTCACTCCCATCTCAAAGCCCCCAGATTCATGCCCAGCTCACCTCTCAAATGTCACCTCTTCAGAGAGGCCTGCTCTGTCCTCCAAACAACATCACCCCTTATCCTCTTGCTTTATTTCCTAACAGCACTTACCACATTTTGACATTATCCATTTATTTATTAATGCATGGTGTCTCTCTTTCCTGCTAGAATAAAGCTCCATGGATGCCAGGACTGTGCCTGTTCCCATGCCCACTGTGTCCCCAGCTCCCAGAACAGTGCCTGGCATGTAATAGACACTCATTAAATATTTGTTGAATGAATAAATAATGTCTCTCCTCTCTTGGTTTCTTTGGCTCTGCCCTCTCTTCCTTTCTGCTCAAGATCTCTCTCTTCCCCTGGAATCTCATCTCTATGACACCCCCCATCCTGGCCCGTCCTCAACCTTGTGTCTCTTTGTCATTGGTTCTCCAAGGACCCCACACTGCTCTGTCCCCACAGGACATGCTCCTGTCAGACCTTAGCCACCGGAAACACTTAGCAGGTCACCGAAGACGCTCGCTGCTCCGGAAGTCTCAGGTGAGCTGGTCTTCGGCTAGGTGTATTGCTCAGGAATCTGGATGGCAAGTGACAGAAAGCCAACCCAGATTGGACTGCACAAAAAAGGGGATGCTATTTTTTCATGTATCTGAAAAGTCCAAGTGCTGCTGAATTCAGGCCCTCAAATGCTGTTGGGGCTTAGTCCCTCCCTCCCTACCTCGGGCTCTACTTCCCCAAGGTGGCTTCTTTCTCAACAAAGTGGCTGTCCCAGCAGCTACACATTCACTTCCCACTGGTTCACTCACCCCAGGGGAAGGAGAGTGCCACAGACCTTCAGGCAGCAAGGTCCCAGGGCTGACTCGCACTTGCCCAGCTTGGGTCACGGCCTATGCTCTGAACCAATCACAGTGGCCAAGCTGTTGGAGGGCTTTGATTGGCCAGATCTGGGTCACATGCCCCATCATGGAAGTGGAGGTGTGGGGTCAGGAGAGTGGGGAGATGTGACACCTGCCCCCCAGCCACCTCCCTCAAATTGAGTCACTGTTACCAGGAAAAGGGGATTGGTTGGAGGGCAGATACAACAGACATCCACTACACTTGGAGGCATTCCAAGTCCATGTGGGGTCCTGGGGATGGAGGGGGTGCTAGGAAAGGAGAAAGAAAGCCCTGTAGGTCTGTAGTGGTAAGGGCAAGTCCACACTGAGTGTCACTTCCATCCATTCTGCTGCTGGCTGCTGTCCACCCTTAGAACAAGAAGAGGCAAGCTTCTCCCCATCTCCAGGATGTGATGCTGGAGGTGGACGCTGGGTGAGATGCCTGGGAGACGGGTCTGGGGGTGTGGGGGACAGGGCTCGTGGTGGCGGCCCACCCATTTGTGTAACACTGCATTGCCCTTCACAGAGCCCCTGCTCCTGCATCCAGGTGGCCCCTGACCTCCCTCCTTCTCCTTCTCCTCTTCCTTCTCCTGGTGGGTGCCACATTGCTCCTGCCCCTGTCAGGGGGGCCCTGCTGGTCTCCCTCCCGACTGGCCAGGACACCTTACGTGGTGCTCAGCTATGTCAATGGTCCCCCCCCAGTCTGAGGATGCAGCCCAGGCATGTGTAATAAATGGTCACTGTCAAAGGATGTGTCTTAGTCCATTCAGGCTGCTAACAAAATACCATAGACTGGGTTGCTTATCAATGATAGAAATTTATGTCTCACAGTTCTGGGGGCTGAGAAGTCCAAGGTCAAGGAGCCGGCAGATTTGGTGTCTGAGGAGGGTCCACTTCCTGGTTCATAGATGGCCGTCTTCTCGCTGTGTCCTCACATGGCAGAAGGGGCAGGGAGCTCTCTGGGGTCTCTTTATAAGGGCACTAACCCCATTTCCACCTCATGACCTAATCACTCCCAAGGCCCCACCTCCTAATCCCATCATACTGGGGGTTAGGATTTCAACATAGGAATTTCAAGCAGACACAGACATCCAGTTTGTAGCAGATGTGTGAGGATACTGGGTGCCCAGGTATCCGGAAACTAGGATACGGTCCTGATACGTCTGGACAGCCACCTCCACAGATCCCTTTGCCTTGAGCACAGGACACAGAACCGAATCAGACCATCTTGGGTTGGGGTCCCTCAGACCCTGAAACAGAGATTCAAGCACAAGTGGTTCATTAGGGAGGCGATCCCAGCTGACTGACGGGGGAACGGGGGAGTGAGCCAGGGAAGGGAGTTATTGAGTTGGTCGCTGCTCTGGGCACCTGGGGTGCCATCCCAATGGGACCTCTGGGAGACTGTGTGGGACACACTCAAAGTTGGTCCACCCAAGGGGTGAGGAAATTGTGGCCTTTCTGTACCAGCTCCCATTTCTCACTGGTTACAGATTGTTCCTGGAGGGGTTGACTCCCCGGCACTTCCGGCCTCTCCTGCTGTAAAGGCCCCGCAGGCAGAGGCACAGGTGCTTGCCACAGGAAGCTGGAGGCGTGTAGGGAAGGATGCAGGTGATGTGGGCCAGCTGCCCCTGACCCGCATCCATACAGGTGCTCTGCTCAAGCATTCTACACGGTGGACTCCCAGGCTGGGCCATCATGGGTGCGGGACTGTGAAAACCACCTTCCCCGAGTCTGACAACACCAAGCTGAATGGCCGGCGCACAGTCCTGGAGTCCAGTCCCCAGCCCCAGGTGTTTAAGCTCATCCTCTCCCCAGAGCTTCAAGTGTCAGGACAAGAGGTGGAGCAGAATCAGACTCATGAGCAGAGGCAGGAGCCCTGTGCTAGGCTCCTGGAAATGCACATAAGACAGATCCCCTCTCCTTAATTCTCACAACCGCCAAATGATGTGTCCCCACTTAACAGAATGGGAAACTGAGGCTCTAGAGGGAAAGTCACTGGCCTGAGGCCACACAGGGAGCTAGTGACTGAAGCCCAATCAAAGCTGATTTAAATAGAAATGGGAATTTATTTTCATTGGTAACTGAAAAGTTTAGGACTTCAGGCACAGGTCGATCCAGGGTCTTAAATGATATCTCCAGTTCTTTCCTCTGGTTTGGCTTCATTCTTATCCTGGTAGTGGCCAGAGTGCCCTCAAAACCTCCAAGCATACATCTCACCAATTTAGCAGCCAACAGGAGAGTCCCTCTTCTTTTAGAGTTCCAACCACAGCCCCACAGCTGGCTCCCCTGGCCAGTGTCACATGCTTCACTGGGGGCTGCAGTCAGCCCTGCCTGAACCACATGTACTAAAAACGGGGGAGGGGTGGGTCGCCAAAGAATATCAGAGAGCTGTTACCAGACAGGGGAATGGACACTCAGCAAGGGGGATTCTGGGAGAGACTCCAGGTTCAGGGAGAAGTCAGGATGCCAGCCTGGGTCTGTCCTGTATCAAATGCCAGGCCAAGGCTCTGTCCCCAACCAAGGAGGCATGGTCTCCCTGGGATCACTGCAAATAGGGCAGGCAGGGTCTTCGCAATATTGACCCAAATGACCAGGAAATGGAACAAGTCTCATTCGTTCGTTCATTCAACACTGACTGTCTGCTATGAGCCAGGTCTGGGACAAAGAGCAGGGCTGTGACAGTGAGCAAGACAGGCTAAAATCCTTGTCCCTGTGGAGCTGACATTCTAGTGGGGGAGACCAACAGCAAATAAAAGACACAGGTAAATATGTAATCGGTCAGATGGTGCTAAGTGCTAAGGAGCAAAAGTGGGCAAAGGGAAGGGGGTATGATTTAATTAGGGTGGTTGTGGAAGGCATCAGGGAGGCGATTACATCATCATGTTGTAATTATGTCATTATAGCAAATTGTAGTGAGGAAAGCAGCCATGGGGACTCCAAGAGTAGTGAAATATAACGTGAATGAAAATATAATTTTAAATTTCCTAGTAGTTCTAGTAAAACAATAGAAACAGGTGAAATTAATTTTAATACTTTAATTTATATGCTCTTTAACTTGATATATCCAACACATTATCACTTCAATATGTAATCAATATAAAAATAATGAGGTATTTTACAATCCTTTTTTCTTACGAAGTCTTTGAAATCTGGTATTTTATACTTTATAGCACATCTCAGTTCAGATGCTTAATTTTCAACAGATAAAATGAAATGTAGTCCTACCAAAACAATAAAGTTGTGTTTAATGGAAAAAATATTTTACACTGCTTCAGTTTTAACATTTAAATTACTTAAAAATTTATAAAATTAAAAAACATCCCTCATTTCAAATGCTCAAGTCACAGATAACTCCCAGGTACCATACCAGACAGTGCAGACCTGGAGGAAGAGCATTCCAGGTTGAGGGAACAGCAAGTGCAAAGGCCCTGAGGTAGGAGTGTGCCTGGCATGTGGGAAGGCCAGTGTGGCTGGAGCGTGAGTGGTGGAGGGGGAGAGTGGGAGGTGAGGTGAGAGAGGCGATGGGGCCAGATCAGGTGAGACCTTGTGGACCACAGTGAGGACTTCTAGTCTGAGTGAGATGGGCATCATTGGAGTTTGTTTTGGTTTTTCAACTTTCATTCTGTACTTTTTGAACTTGTATAAAAGGAGAAGGAACAGCATTACCAGTCCTCGTGGACTCATCCCAGCTCCAATCATTATCAACTCGGACCAATCCCATTTAATCCTCCCAGGCGGGCGCCTGGCTCCCCGAGGAGCGCGAGAGATGAAAACTGAGGCTGAGAGAGATGAACAAGGTGCGGAGGCCCCAAGGTGGGTACTAACTGGGGTCAAAGCTGAAGTAGAAGCCACAAGCACAAACCATACAGCCTGTGCTCTGGGGCACTCCAGGCCCCAGTGGGGCCCCTGCATGTCTCCCCTTGTTCCCCTCCAGGTCTCTGCCCACACTGGTCCTCCTGCTTAGAAGCCTATCCCTACCTTCTGGCAAATGATATTTCTTCAAATGTCACCCCCACTTTATAACTACTTGGGTACCTGCCTCCAGCTCTGGGTTTAGGGCAGAGTCATGCTCCTCTTCTGTCCATCCTCCCTTTGGTCTGAGGGCTGGACTCCTTTCCTAAGGACCTCCTTCTCCTCCTCCCAAACTGCATCTGCTAAGAATTCATCTGCTTTCCACTGGTTTAACTGACACGGGTGCAAACACAAGTCAGGGTTGCGAAATGTAATATCCCAGAGAATGTCTAGGGCAGACCCACACGGGGACATGGGACGGGGTATGCCTGTAGCCTGCGGGTCCACCGCTCCTCCCCCACCCCTGCGCCTTGCTGGCAAAAATCCCAGCTTGTAGCTGAGGCCAGACTCCTCAACGAGGCTTGAGGTCCCCACTACTGCCTCAAGGGTTACCAGCCAGGCCTCCTCATTTCCTATCCTGCCTCACTACTCTCCATTAAGGAGTCAATGGGGGTTTCTTTGGGATCAAACCAGGGTGGGTGCCATGGATTTGCGCAGGAGAGAGAACTATGCTGCTTCAACCAGTCCGCCAGTCTAGACAGCTACCTACACCTATCCCTCCCAGAGGGTCACTTCTTGGTTTGTGGGGCCTCTTCAAAAATCCCCAAACACATAAAATCTTTAAGACTACCAACAGGGAAGTCAGCACATCCCAAATTTTATTCCCTTTGTTCAACAGTCCTGAGGTTGCGGGGGCACAGGCGTCAGAGTTCCCCCTCAGAACCATCAAGTAGAGGTCTTGAGGGGTCTTGAGTTGATCAGCTAGGGCCAGAGACTCCCTAGCCCCTTCCTCATCGGTCCTAGTTTGTCACAATTAATGGGGGAAAAGTTTTCCAAAAGGGGATTCGGGGCTTCTCACCGTCCATCAGGGCATCTTCCCAAATTCCTCAGCAAAAAGTCTGCTTTTCTTAGAGTTAAATACAGGAGAGGGGAGTTGAGGAGCCAGGGGTCCAGAGAAGGGTGTCTCAGTCTTTGTCCAACGGGGGGCGTCCCGGCTCCCCATGCCTTCGAGTCAGCAGCTCTCAGCTTGACACAGTCCAGCAGGCTGGCGACCCAGGCCGCCCCAAGCCCTCATGGGAGAGTCCGACATGTTACCATGGGTTGGGCAAGGTAGGGCGTCTCTCACCATCCATCATGGAGGTCTGTAGGACTCACATTGCCGGGAGGGCTCTCCGATTCCCTCAATCCATCGAGCTAGTCTCTCAAGACCTCTCGCCTTTCATCAGGCGGGCTCCCTGGTCCCCCCACGCAGTTAGGCTGGCCCCCCGTCTTCCCTGCACCATCGAGTGAGCTCTTCTGCCTGTCACCGTCCATCGCGCGAGGTCTCTGGTGACCCCATGCCGTCGGGCGGGCTTCTCGGGCCGTCACCATCTTCAGGCGGGGTCCCCGGGGCCCCCGCGCCGCGGGGCTCCTCGGTCGGGCCCCGCGGGCGCACGAAGGCACCCAGGGCCGTGGCGTGGCCGGAGCGCAGCAGCTGGAGCTGGCGCCGCCCGCGGCGGTACAGGTACTCGATGCGCAGGACGTCGGAGCGCGGCAGGCAGGCGTGCTGCCGGAACTCGGCCCGCACCCGCGCCTCGGCGCCCGGCTTCCCGCGCCCGGCGCGCAGCAGCTCGCGGTACAGGCTCAGGACCTGCCTCTGCAGCCGGCTGGGCCGGCTCATGGTGCCGGCGGGGCCGCGGTCGCACGCAGCGCAGGCCCCACCAACCGCGGCGCGGCCGCCCGGCGCCAGACGCCAGCAGCCAGGCAGCAGGCACTTCCGCCCCGCGCGCCCCCGCCTCCGCCTCCCGCCTCCCGCCTCCCGCCTCCGGCTATCCGGCGCCCTCGCGTCCCATTGGCTGTCGCTGCAGTTACGTCACAGTCAGGGCGGAGCTGTCGGTGGCCTGGCCCGCTCGCAGGGAACCGGCGTCCTTGAGGGGACAGCAGTTCTGGGAACCCGGAGGAGGATGAGGCTAGGCTCTTGGACTCTTAGGTTTTGGGTCGGAAGCCCCGACCTAACTCCTGGGTCCTGGGAGAGCGGGAGCTAGAGGTTGGGATCCTTGTGTCCCCCACGGCGCGGCGGCACTGGGAGAGAGAAGACAGGCACAAGCATGACTGTGTCATCGGTTATTTATGACAACAATCGGGGGAAGCTCCGTGCCTTCCCACCTCCAGAGCAGGCGTGTGTCGGGGGTCCCAGCCCTGGGGACGCGCAGAGGGACGGGGTCACGCGGGGAAGTGTTGGTCCCGGCCGGCAGGACCAGCTTCTGCGGCTGCGGGAAGACAAGCAGCGAGAGGGTGTGGGCTCCAAGCCCCCAAAAGGCAGCCTGTTGGGAGGCAGTTGGGCTGGTCGCTCCCTCTGCCGATGTGAGTTGGGTCTTGGGGCAGGAGAGGGAGGGTCCTCACCAGCTGTGGAAGCCCCGAGTCCGGCACGCCTGGAACACGTCCACTAGGCTGGCACCCCGGAGTCCTCCTGGGAGGAGGTCGTCGACCGCAGTTCCGTTGTAGTCCCCGCAGGCTGCCCGGAGGCGTTCTCTTAGCGTAGAGAAGGCCCGCAAGGACATGGCCCCCTGGGGCCCTCCCAGCGCCCGGGGAGTGGGAGATCGCTCGACGATAACCTGAGAGCCCTCCGCCCAGGTGTGCGACCACGCCCCCGCACACCTGGGACCGGAGCCGCGCTGGGCGTCCATTCACCTGCAGAGAGGGGAGGCGGGTCAGGGGCGGGGATTAGGGCCGGAGACCCGGAGTCAAGGGGGCTTCGGGAAGCACTGAATCCTTCGGGTGTCTATCAGAAATACATATCTAGGTCTTTGCTAGAGGAATAAGGTCTGCAATTTGCTTTAAAATCCTCCAGCACCAACAAAACAAAAAGAGTGGGAGGAAAAGATGAAAGCAAGAATAGCAAAACATTTGTAACTGTAATGGGGTTTCATAACACTATTCTCTGTTCTTTTGTGATGCTTGAAAATCTCCATAATAAACACTTTCCTAAAAGGGAGCTTTAGAGAAGAAAAGGCCTTTGCAATGTGTCTCATCTCTCACCTGTGTCTTCATAACCTAATAACTGTTCACTGTGCGTGTCCTCTGTGCCAGGCGCTATTCCAACTGCTTGAATATTTTACTATTTATTTCATAAGATGATGTGTGACAGAGTATATTAATAAAATATGCAAAATAATATGATGCAATTGCTATTTTAATATATTGTCACCTAATTTATATTTTATGTAATACATTTATTTTAAAATAGTGAATATTTCAAATAGCTTATTAAATATTTATTTTAATATTTTCAATGATATTAAATCCCACCAACACTCTGACCGGTAGACCTGCAGTCCTATAAGCCTCTTGCCTCTTACTGATTAGGAAACGAGCCCCGGAGAAGTAACAGAGCTTGCCCAGGTTCACGGAGCCGGTGAGTGGCAGAGCCAGGTTTTGATTCCCCATAGGGGGCTGGTTTCGTGACCTGTGTTCTTAACCACTCTGCTCTATACACTGCCTCTCCAGTAAGAATATAAAAGCGGCTGCTAGAGCAATCACAGCTCATATTTACCGAGCACTTAGTGTACACCAGCACTTTACATGTACGCTCACAGCTGCCCTAGAAGGTGGGTACAATTCTTATCACCACTTTTTGTGGATGGGCAAACTGAGGCTGAGTCATGTGCCCAAAGTTACACTAGAAGTTTAAGAGACACAGTCCGGGTCTCCTGACCCCTTGACCAAAGGCTCTGGCTCAGCTTCCCTGCCAGGTTATGGCAGATGCCCCAGCTGTTCTCTTGCGGGCCCATCTTCCCGCTCCTACAACTAGCCTCCCCCTCACAGCTGTATTCTATGTCTCAGCATGGGACTTCAGGCTTGTTTTCCCCTTACTGAGAAACACTATCCATTTTGCCCACCCAGATTCCAGTTCTCCTGCTCCTCTCCTGCTTCCAGCCTCCTTGTGGAGCCAGGTGCCCCCCGCCCTGACCTTTCTCTCTGCTGGATTTTCAACCTCTCCTTGTCTGTTTTCTTCCCATCAGCACTTAAACATCCCTGAGTTTCTCCCATCTCAAAATCATCATCATAATAAATCAGTCTAAGATAGCCTGGCCCTCTGCCTCTTCCTGGCTCATCTCTATTCTCCTCTTGCATGGACAGCTTGTCAAGAGAGGTGTCTCTGTCTGCTGTCTCCACTTAAGCCTCATTCCTCAACCCTGCAGTCCAGGAGCTGCCCTCCTGCTGTGATTTCGTAAGTCACCAATACCCTCCTTGGCCCTAAGTCCACCACATTTAGTGAGCTATTTTATACTCATTAGTTGATTTTCACCACAGTCTGCAAATGTAGTCCCTCCCTTTTCCTGGCCTTATTCTGCAACACTCCTCCCTGCTCTCTTCCCCAGCCTAACTTCAGGTCTCAGCTCATTTGTCACCTCCTTCAGAAAGCCTTCCCCGACCCCCTAAACTGGGCGCACCTCCTCTGGGCTCCCACAGCCTACCTGTGCCTCCCCACCCCAGCCCTGATCACTCTGGCCTGTGCTTCCCCTATTACAGCTCTGATCACTCAGTCAGCAGTTCCCAGGAGTCCAGTAGGTCTTGGGTCAAGCTGGAGTCAGTGGATCCTGAGAAGTCCAGGGTGAAGTTTATGTAGGGTCTAGAGGGTCATGGGAGATCAGGGCAAGGGCAGTTAGCCAATGGAGGTCACTGTGAAATCAGAGGGCAATGGGGAAACAGTTCTATGTTAAAAGGCTACTGAAGGCCAGTGAGGGGTCCGTAGGTCCCAGGGATCAGGCCAGGTTATACATGGGTCTTGGCTGGAATTGAGGAAGTCCTTTACCCATATTTCTCGCTTGGATCCCACAGGCGCACAGCCATCCCTGAAGCTGACGATCACCTGTGGTTGGGGGGCGTGCAGCCAGGACAGGGTGGGAACTCAGCAATGACATGGAACCAGTCAGGATCTTGGGGCCTGGAACCCACCAATGTGGCTAGCTCATAGGCACAGGGCTTAACAGGCCTGGATGCAAGCCCACTGAAGCCATCAAAGGTGGTGAAAAGACCCCTGAGCACTAGGCGACATGTGGCACTCTCCCCAGCCTCACAACATTGCACACTCCCATCCAGGATGCAGCCTGTGTCCTGTGGGTCGGAAAAAGGCTGGCACTGGAGGCAGAGGCCACGCAAGCACATACAGCGTTCCTGGCAGCCAGGCAGGACCAGCACCTCCCCAACCTGCAGAGACAGACAGATAGACTCAAAATCGGATCCAAAAGGCCATTACGAACATCAACAAACAAGGAAGCATATGTGTAACACATATCACAAAGGACTAATTTCCCTAATATATAAAGAGTTCCTAGAAATAAAAAAGACCAACAGCCCAATATAAAAAAATGGGCAGGGGCCAGCCCGATGGCATAGGGTTAAGTTCATGTGCATCGCTTCGGTGGCCCAGAGTTCACGGGTTTGGATCCTGGGCACAGACCTACACACTGTTCATCAAGCCATGCTGTGGTGGTGTCCCACATATAAAATAGAGGAGGATAGGCTCAGATGTTAGCTCAGGGACAATCTTCCTCAAGCAAAAAGAGGAAGATTGGCAATAGATGTTAGCTCAGGACCAATCTTCCTCACCAAAAAAAATAAAAAAGGCAAAGTCTATTCAGAAAGTTAATAAAAAAGGAAATACAAATGTTTCTTAGGCATTTGAAAAGATGCTCAACTTCCTAATAAGACAAATACAAATTAAAAATCCATTGAGATATTTTTTCCCTATGAGATGGGCAAAAATTTAAAAATTTGATACGTTTCTCCAGTTGTCCCCTGAATATCTTCTATAACTGTTCTTTTCAAACCAGGACGCAATCAAGCTTTGTGCACTGCATTTGACTGTTGTGTTTCTTAGCCTCTTTTCATCTAGGACAATCCCTCTGCTTTTCAGAATTCCTTTTTTTTTTTTTTTGTGAGGAAGATCAGCCCTGAGCTAACATCTGTGCTAATCCTCCTCTTTTTGCTGAGGAAGACCGGCTCTGAGCTAACATCTATTGCCAATCCTCTTTTTTTTTTCCCCCAAAGCCCTGGTAGATAGTTGTATGTCATTGTTGGACATCCTTCTAGCTGCTGTATGTGGGATGTGGCCTCAGCATGGCCAGAGAAGTGGTGCGTTGGTGCGCGCCCGGGATCTGAACCCAGGCCGCCAGTAGCGATGCACGTGCACTTAACCGCTAAGCCACGGGGCTGGCCCTCTGCTTTTCATTGGTGTGTGAAAAGCCCTAAAAGCTCTCTGAAGATTCTGATGTGTGGCTAGCATTGTCAACACTGGCATGGAGTGGACATGCAGTGACAGATGTATCTGCTCTTCTGCCTTGTTCCCCACATTGTGGGCATCTCTTCATTCCCAGGGTCACTCTGGGGTTTATTTACTATTTATTTGCTGAAGAAGATTCGCCCTGAGCTAACATCTGTGCCAATCTTCCTCTATTTTGTATGTGGGTCGCCACCTCAGCATGGCTGTCGAGTGGTGTAGATGCGTGCCCAAGAACCAAACCTGCGAACCTGGGCCGCCAAAGCGGAGTGAGCCAAACTTAACCACTAGGCCACAGGGCCCGCCCTTCTGGGGTTTAAACATCCATGTTTTTTCCTATCCAGTGGCCCCTAATCTCCAACTATGTCAACCATCCTGGGGGGTCTCTCTTTACCTCCTAATGGACTCAAGGAGCTGCAAAACCTTGAAGGGAACACTGCCTGCCCAGGGTCCATCCTGGGTAACAGCCTCCCAGGTTCTTTGGGGAACTAGCCCCACTTTCAGTCTACCAGTGATTTATCTACCCTCTGGCTCCAGCTCTGGGCACATGCCC